CACACACACACACACACAGACACACACACACACACACACACAGACACACACACACACACACACACACAGAATGTTAGACACTCTGGCAGATCAGTCTCGTTCCTCTGTTGAACACAGAAGCAGATATTCAGAAGAATGCTGAAACCTGACTCCAGTAAGAGGAAAACCTTTACTGTGGGAGTCAATGGTTACCGGCTTCAGCATTCTTCAAAATATCTGCTTTTGTGTTCAACAGAAGAAACTGAAGGAGGAGAACATGAGGACAGACTACAGCTGTAGGTCAACTGTGTGTGTGTGTGTGTGTGTGTGTGTGTGTGTGTGTGTGTTTACCTGACGGGGCCGAAGGTGAAGGTGATGAACAGGAACAGTATCATCACACACACGGCTCTCTTATTGCTGCCAGATTCAGTAGCCTGTTCAACACAACAGCACACACACTTATGCAGAGGAAGCAGAGTTTGTGTGTGTGTGTGTGTTTGTGTGTTACCTCTTTCCCAGCAAGTCTCAGTCTGAGTGTGTGTGTTTGTGTGTGTTTTTGTGTGTGTGTGTGTGTGTGTGTGTTACCTCTTTCCCAGCGAGTCTCAGTCTGAGTGTGTGTGTGTTTGTGTGTGTGTGTGTGTGTTACCTCTTTCCCCGCGAGTCTCAGTCTGAGTGTGTGTGTTTGTTTGTGTGTGTGTGTGTGTGTGTGTGTGTGTGTGTGTGTTACCTCTTTCCCAGCGAGTCTCAGTCTGTGTGTGTGTGTGTGTTTGTGTGTGTTACCTCTTTCCCCACGAGTCTCAGTCTGAGTGTGTGTGTGTGTGTGTGTTTGTGTGTGTGTGTTACCTCTTTCCCAGCGAGTCTCAGTCTGAGTGTGTGTGTGTGTGTGTGTGTGTGTGTGTTACCTCTTTCCCAGCGAGTCTCAGTCTGAGTGTGTGTGTGTTTGTGTGTGTGTGTGTGTGTGTTTGTGTGTGTTACCTCTTTCCCCGCGAGTCTCAGTCTGAGTGTGTGTGTTTGTGTGTGTGTGTTTGTGTGTGTTACCTCTTTCCCCGCGAGTCTCAGTCTGAGTGTGTGTGTTTGTGTGTGTGTGTTTGTGTGTGTTACCTCTTTCCCCGCGAGTCTCAGTCTGAGTGTGTGTGTTTGTGTGTGTGTGTGTGTGTGTTACCTCTTTCCCCGCGAGTCTCAGTCTGAGTGTGTGTGTTTGTGTGTGTGTGTGTGTGTGTGTGTGTTACCTCTTTCCCCGCGAGTCTCAGTCTGAGTGTGTGGTTCTCCCTGCGCAGGCGCTCGTTCTCCTGCTGTGCGTCTCTCAGCTGTGTCTCCAGGTTCTGCAGGTACTCCTTCTTCTTCTTGCGGCTCTGACATGCAGACTCACGGTTCTTGATCATGCGCTGCTGCCTCTTCAGAACCTTCATCTGACACACACACACACACACACACACACACAGTTTTCCTCTTAGACTTACTTAATGTGCTGTAAATAGTGAATGTGCTCTTGGCGTGACGCAGCTGCTGTTAAAGGGAATGGGAGAGGAGACTCTGATTGGTTTATTCTCTGAACACACCTATAACTCATTAAGAGAATAAACTCAGCCCTGTTAGACCATCCGCCACGGCGCAAAGCCGATTTCCCGTCCTTAAATGAGCAAATATGGATTCTGACACGTCCTGAAAGTGTTTGCGCCTGCACTTTCCACATGGACCGTCAAAATAGAGCCCGGAGTGTTTTGAGAAACACCATATGCCAATATAAAGGCAGATTTCCCTTAAAGCTCCTCTGTCAGCACATTTCACTGCAGCTGTGGGTAATCTGGATGTTTGTGCTCGGTGCATACTCACATCGATGTCACTGCCGATGTTTCCAGGAAGTGCCGCTGCCGTCGCCGGGACGATGGGTTTGCTCTGCGGCGCCGACGGGCTGCTGCAGTGAGGCATGCTGGGAGATAACGGCTCCATCTTTACAATAGCAGGAGCAGAGGCCAGACACACGGACGGAGAGAGGACCACTGCAGAGCACACACACACACATAGACACACACAGACACACACACACACACACACACACACACATAGACACACACAGACACACACACACACACACACACACACACACACACACACACACACACACACAGAAAGAGACATGTTTAAACAGTGCTGACCGCTGGCATGCATCAGTACATCAGCTCTCAGCACATGACGACACTCATCATGAAGAGCTGCAGCAGGAACTCTGGGTAATATCTGCTGGAGTGTGTGTCTTTATCTCCAGCAACTCACAGTCTGGGATGTGTGAGGGAGGGTGTGAGTGTGTGCATCTGAGAGAGTGTGTGAGTCCTCTGACCAGGTGTGCTGCTCTGCTCCAGCGTGGGCACAGGTACAGGTACGCTCTGCAGGATCAGCGCTTTAGCTGCAGTCGCGCTCGGGGCCACGGGCAGCGCCGTCACACACACCGGTTTGGGCTGAAGCAGAGGCTTACTGCTGACTATACTGCTGGCCTTCAGTGTCGCTGCAGGAGACAGCACTACACACACACACACACACACACACACGCACACACACACACACACACACTGCTGATGGTTTAGAGTGGACAGACCAGACTAACTGCACTTTCCTGAGTAATGTGACACGTGTGTGGTGTGTGTGTGTGTGTGTGTGTGTGTGTGTGTGTGTGTTACAGTTGATCCTGCTCTTCTAGATTATTGTGTTCTGTCATGTTTATTTCCTGCTGTTGCGCTCAGACTAGCAGAACATTTAAACCACTGACATTACAGAGTCTGAAAACACACTGAACTGTGTGTGTGTGTGTGTGTGTGTGTGCGCGTGTGCGTGTGTGTGTGTGTGTGTGTGTGTGTGTGTGTGTGTGTGTGTGTGTGTGTGTGTGTGTACAGACCTGTGGTGTGTGTGTGAGCACTGA